TAACCGATCCCGATCTCTCCGTTCACAGGAAAAGAACTTGCTTGTTGTTCCCAAAGTAAAGACAGTGATGTATGGAAAGAGGTCCTTTGTCCATGCAGGATCTATAGCCTGGAACAGTCTCCCGCAGAGCCTCAGAGACTGTTGTGACTTTAATTCATTCAGATCCAATCTAAAAACACACATGTTCAAGATAGCCTTTGAACTGTAGCTCTTTACCATTAATCTAATCTTTATCTTGTGCACTTTGAACATGCTTTAGCATGGATATATGCACGTAACAAAATATGCTATTATATAGTTTCACAATATTTCAAAACAATTGTTCTACTCGTTGATAATTTCTTCAGTAGAAGCATTTGGTAATGATCACTATATTTGGGTGTCGTTAGCCATCATTTCAAAAGATTGACAAAAGTTGTATTTCGTGAAGCTCAATATCACATAGATTTTTAGACATATTGATATTGACCCTAAACGTATATTTCGATCTCTTAGAACACTGCAACATATCTTTCACCTCAATTTTGTACTCGCTCCTCAAAGTATGGTAACATAGATTGCAATTATGAATGAGGACGATATATGAGGACGATTATTACGTCCAATGAATTAGTTTGTAACGTAGATTACAAAAATATCATCGTTGAATTCTGACAGAATGGGCAAGATTCATGCCGAGATCCAGCGGGGTTACGGACAAGGGAATAGGGAGAAAGAAGGAATGAAGGTTATTCATGTGAACAAGTGTTTTTTGTGCAAATCTGTAATCTACGTTACAAAGGCGTTCATTCACAACCTGATCAATAATATTACCTTTTATAAATGCTGTTGTATTGTCAGTAAAGTTCATGATATTACCTCTCAGATGTCGATTCTTTTTGTCGACTTCTTTTGCGTAAAGAACTGCTTTTAACAGTATAACACAAAGTTATATTTTCAAGAGCTTTGACTTGATCAAGTTTATTGTTATAATGCTAACAAACTCAACTGAGTGGAGAGGATGTTACATGTAATGTTTCCTTAACGAAACACAACTTTGGGATTAACAACTGAACTTTGTGCATGATATCTCCCTTCAATGTGTCATGCAGCCGTCATAAAGAACAGTCACGTAGATTACAACGATCGTGTAGGGTGGTATTGTATGAGATGTGATGGAATTTTTACAAGCTCCCCTTGAGTGCTACAATTTCTGATTTTCGTTCGGGGCACTTTCTTCAATAAAACAGCAACAACAAGTGACAGACATATTGTCTTTATTTTTTACGATTTGTGCTTTTCAAATTGGGCATTCTCTGTGAGAATTGGTGACTGCCTCAAGCCACACAAGGTTACTTCAACAGGTCAGTCCTCCCCTTTGGGCATACGAGAATGAGTGTAGTTTTACGCCACCATTTGCAATATTCCAGTAATATCTCCGCGTGGAAGAACACCAAAAACAGGCTTCGCACATTTCACTCGTCTGGGGTATCGTACCCACGTCATCGAGCGAACGCTTTTACCACTTGGTTAGAACAACCTTAGATTCATCAGCATCCACAGTCACTATAGAGTACCCAATTGGTAGGAGGGTGCTCGCGATATTCTGGTCCCTATTTGAATAGCTGACGAAGGTGGTTAGTGTCATCAATTAAAAAAGTACTTGATTGTCTTAACATAATCAAAACACTACAGTCCGTTTGGCTCAAAAGCGGACCGATGAATTGCAATCTAACTCGAAAACTAACAAACATAACATACTCAATGAAACGCTGATCATAATCAAAACATCATACCCACACTGTGAGTTTTTTGCAGAATTTTTGTCCTAAAAATAATAACGTTGTTTTACAAACTATCATTAAAATATTGACACAGTTCACTGTTTGTTACGAGGGAGGAGTGCAGAGAAAATGACAGCCAGGTGTTCGAGAAGCACGTGCACGTTCACAGACAAAGTTATTTACAGTCAGACCTCGTTAATACGAACACTTTGGTTTTTTAAAAAAAACCGTTCGGATAGTGAAACGTTCGTACTGCTGAAACCACAGTATATGCACCGAGTTACTTCCCCTTGATATCTTTCCTTACTATCGAGACTCTGAGGTCATAGATGAAGCCTATGTTTATGAAGGAAATTATAATCCTACTGTTGATAAATATGAAGTTTAGTTTTATAATGTTATTCAAAAACTATGGCGCGGTCAACTTCAATCGTTCGGATTAACGCAGCTGTTTACAACTTAATTAGTCCAATCCGTTCCGACTGACCAGCGTTCGGAGGCGGAAACTGAATCATCGGACTAACGAGGTGTCAATTATATACAATATATAGGGAGATGATTTGGTGCCCGGTGAGTAGCGTTCGGAAGTCGGTGGATTCGGATTAACGAGGACCGGATTACCGCGGCCTGACTGTATTCATTAACCTGTGTTGTGCCGTCTCCATTCGTTTCGAACACCGGACTGTCCCTTTCTCTGAACTCCTCCCTCGTATTTTATGTTTATTAGTTTTCGAGTTAGATTGCAATTCATCGGTCCGCTTTTGAGCCAAACGGACTATACAAGTAGTGTTATTTGAAAGTAAATGGTACGTCATGGTATGTACTATAAATGGTTTCCGTATAAACAGTTTCATCATACGTATTGGCGTATTTGAATGTAGATGGTGTTCATCCAATCGGACTGTGAATGTTAACCTGAAACAACTTATACTCGGGAACCAGGCCAGGTAGGGTAAGCCATGTTTAAAGTGTATTATTTCACTTTAAAATTATGTTTGGATAGATCAAGATTTCGGTGGCAATGCTGTGTTTACATAGGCCTTTCAGCAACGATCTAATGATTGAGGAACAGTGGAATGGGAAACAAAAAAAGAACTTATGAAAATGAAACTGGTTGACAATGCAGTATGTAGCCTTTGTAATGTTGATAGTGAAACTTTATGTCATGTATATTGGGAATGTGTTGTAACCCAAACCTTCTGGAAGGAACTTGAAAACTGGATAATCCATAATATACAGAAATTTGAAATAACAAAGACCTTGGTGTGGTTTGGAATTTTAGGTAATAAGCCATTACTGAATCAGATAATCTTATCTGCTAAAAAATATATATATACTTGCACTTTGAAGAAAATAATTCCAAAAGTTAATAATTTTTAAAAAAAATTGAAAGACATTTATACGGTTGAAAATTTCATATCCAGAAGGAACAATAAATCTGATAAAAAGTTCAGACAAATGGTTTCCTTTATTCTCAATATTTAATTTCTGACGTAATCTTTAATAAAAGGGGAATACTTTTACTGGAGTATATTCTCTCTATGCTATCAGTTGACCTAACATTTTTGTTGAACCCAATGAACTTTGATCATGTATTTATTATTTATGCATTTATTGCTTTACTCTATATGCTTGTACTCAATTATGGGAACAAATAAAAAGATTTTTAGAAAAACAAACAAAACAACAGTGGAAAGGGAAGCTGTGTCTTGTTGTTATATATTAATCATGTCTAGTACCTTCAGTTCACTCTTGGATATTGAATATCTACTTCAGGTAAAAACCTTATGGTTGTATCACTTAATTCAATGTGGTTATAAACATGTAGGTAAACAGAAGGCACAAAGGGTATTAATTAGATTATTTACGAAAAGGGTTTATGTAAACGATATAACGTGCCTATATGAATATCATATTTGTATATAATGACAAACGATATCAACTGTTTCAACAAAACTGCGTCATATGTTACGCACTGATACTCTGTGTAATAACCTCTATCACAACTAATATTGTATTTTTTCTTTCTTTTAAATTATGCAGTCAAAATGCTGGACGAAACGTGCATAATGGATCGCAAACTCCATGTGCCATGGGCCTTAAGCCTTTACGACAAAAAATTGTCATTGTGATTGTTCGTCTCAGTATAAATCATTTATAATATCTGTCAAATATCTATTGTGGTGAAATATTGCGGAACTTCTTTGTATAAAAACACATCTCACCCAAAACCGTTCCCTTCAACATTTGCAGATTTCTGATTTATATACCTAATTACAATGTAACTTTGATTTTAGTTTGATCTTCGAGCACATGATATTATCAAAATACATTTCGAATACAATGACCTCATGAAAACTTTGTTTATCAAACACCTTCCGGCCGGCCAGCCACCCAGGTCAGTGTGACACAGTGTTCAGCACGGAAACGGACAAATATCTTCCATGGTGGCGACATCATTAACATTGCGCTGTCACTGTTTGCATAATCAGCCAAAGAACATGTTTGACGCTGGGATCACATATTTTCATGTTTAGTAACGGGAAGGGTAATGCATTGCTTTGTTAAATTAAAATTAAAACCAACACTACCTTGAACAAGCAGTATTCAGCCAGGTGCCCGCCAGCGAGATATGACCCTGTATAATCATTTATTATCGACAGCTTCTGAACTGCCGCCTTCTCTACCCGGCAGCACACCTTGTACCGACAGTGTAACCCTATACTATTTGTAGACTTGATCAATATTCTGCGCTTAATCCACACACTATTCTATGAAATAGGAGCCTTATTTTACGGTCAGTCAGTCGGTTCCCTTTAGGGGATTGATTAAATCAATGAATCATGAAACATGCATCAGATACAGGAAAGTGTATTGACATAATGTTGTTGTTTTTGTATAATTTTATTTCTTTTCACCGGATATAATGTTGCTCCCTGCAGTCATAATATGCAAAGTGATCGGTTTAACAGTTTTATGTGGGATTGATAACCTTTCCACACCATACCACGACCATTGTTTTGTTGTAGATATATATTACAGAAAGCCAAGATCGTATAATATATAACTGTTCATGATATTGACGTTGAATATAGTATTGCATCTTTGAAACCAGCTTAAGGTAACTAATGTTTATGGTTAAAATTTCAAAGAAAACAATGATCATTTAGCTCAATACAATCATTTAATGAGCATATATACATTAAACTGGCTGTACATGGCATAGGCTATACATACCTGTATGTAGTTGGACAAAGAATATCAGTCGATATCAATAACAAATATTTATCTGCATGACATCTTTTCTGCTTCTAATTGTCGCCTCCTCCGATCTATTTGCAAAATGTCTTGCAGTACATCCAGGTTCCCCTCTTCTGTTTGTACAATGCTTCCTTTCCCTGAAACAAGATCAATTTGAGTAGTAGCACTGGAAATTAAATACAAACAGTGAATGCTTACATGTCCAAAAACCTCATGCACAGGAATCGTATTTTATTAATGTGTAATAAAATATATGGGGCGGTGGGGTAGCCTAGCAGTAGAAGCATTCGCTCGTCATGCCGAGGACCCGAATAAAATGTATGAAGGCCATTTCTGGTGCCTCCCCCCCCGTTATATTGCTGTGCTAAAAGCGGTGTACTACTAGCCTCACTCATTCAATACAAAATAGTCTTATGAAGAGTTGTCAATATACATGAGCACAAATTAGAAATTAATCAGGGCTATATTTATTCTTACATATCTTGAAAGGATGGAAGTACAGAAACTAGAAGCTCTGATAACTTCTATTCCTGTTATTGATGCCTAGCAGAGGGGGGTGTTTGTGTAACACCAGCTACTGGAAGTGGCACAGATGATGAACCCAATCTTCTGTGACAATCATCATCATTGTCACCATCATTCACAATATCATATTGAAATGTTATTGCTCCAAGCTTTTCAATTTCATGAGAGCGTCTATGCATCTCCCTTGCAGAGAGTTCTGCTTGACTGGCCACCATCAATGGAGTGCTTCCAAGGTGAGGTGAAATTGGGTTTAACGTCGTGCTTGAGAATATTTCGCTCATATGACGACGTGCATGCGTGTGTATGTGTATGTGGGGCTGCTTGTACTAGCCCAGACTTAAGCTGGTTTTATAGTGCTAGCCCACTGAGATACCATGCCGCAGTGATGCATGAATACCCCACTCAGACACATTATACTGACTCCGAGCCGACCAGTCCTTGTTGTACCCATTAATGCCGAGCGCCAGGCAGGGACCAACAAGTACCATATTTTAACGTCTTTTGGTATGACGCGGTCGGGGATCGAACCCTCGACCTTCCGCTCTCCGGGCGGACGCTCTAACCACTACACCACGGAGGCGGTCGGAGTGCTTCCAAACAAATGTTGACACCTTCATGATGATGATGTATATATAGATTCTGTTTTGTATAAACATGTCCATAACTGAATGCTGTTAATTGTTTTCTCACAAATAGCTGGTTGAAATGAATATTGTCAAAAAACGTTTCTCACATTTATTCGGAATATTCATCACTCAAATTTTCCAAAACGTATACATACAGGACACAGTAGTAACAACATCAAACTGATAGCCAATATTTGCCTGAAGTGCAATTAGTGATTGGCACACATAAAAGGTAGGTTGAAAAAATAGTTGGCCTATAATTCCCGATATCACCAAGTATAATGAACTCAATTCTAAACAAGGTCCATGCAGATTTGTGTTTCATAATTTGTATATGGAAATAACCCGTGAAGGTCCGGGTTATAATTAGTCTTCAGTAACCCATGCATTTCTTCCTAGCTTTCGCTTTGCTAAGCCTCTGTAATCTGTAGAGGGTTTTATTCATTTAGGTGTCTTCTACTTTCTCCAGTGGACACATCTCCCCATGTATTGCCAGTTTACTCGACCCGTGAAGGTCCGGATGAGAATTGATCTTCAGTAACCCATGCTTGTCGTAAGAGTCGACTAACGGGATCGGGTGGTCACGCTCTCTGACTTGGTCGACACATGTCATCGTATCCGAATTGCGCAGATCGATGCGCATGCTGCTGGTCACTGGACTTTCTAGTCCAGACCGATTATGTACAGACCGCCAGTATACGATGACATGTGTCAACCAAGTCAGCGAGTCTGACCACCCGATCCCATTAGTCATATGACAAACATGGGTTGCTGAAGATCAATACTAACCCGGACATTCAGAGCTGAGGCATACCTTGAATGTACACACGCTCCTTTGCCTCTGCTAATGACAAATACGATCAAACTACCCACGAAAACAACCAAAGATAGGGGAACAGGTAAGCATATATATTGTAGCCTACCTCTCACGGGATATCCACTCCATTGACCTCTAGATAGCCCGGATATATCGTTCTTCGACAAGCGTGGACGGTGGTGAAGTGTGTCAAGGAGCCGGGTTGTAGGAAGTGATGTGATATGACAGTGTTTGCGTCTACGGAGTAGTGCACACATTATCTATAGCTACGTGTGACACTACTGCAAGCTATCTCATCGTCTTATCAAAGCTGAAGTCCGTTTGGTTTCATTTGAGACCGATGATTTGCTCACTAACACAAAATCTAATAATTGCCACCGAACTAAATTTTGCACAGTCACATGAAATCGACAGACCACTCAGTGAGTGAGTGAGTGAGTCAAATGGACTGTAACTGTTGTCTTGAGAGGGTGCCTGATAGTCAGCCGTCAGCTGCTGTTGGTTCAGGCTGAAGACGAAAAGCTTAGCCCCGCTGGATGTATTAAGCTGCTTGCTGTCTTACACGAGAATCAGCCTGAGTGAGTGAGTGAGTGAGTGGGTGGGTGGTTGAGAAATCGCTGAATCTGCAAGTCATGCGGGCTTGGTACCGATGGTTAAAGCGTTCGCTCGTAACGCACTTGGTACTGTGTATTTTATGTGATTTATCAATTGTATAATATCTGTATTATCCCGGGGCGGTGGGGTAGCCTGATGGTTAAAGCGTTCGCTCGTCACGCCGAAGACCCGGGTTCGATTCTCCACATGGGTACAATGTGTGAAGCTCATTTCTGGTGTCCCCCGCCGTGATATTGCTGGAATATTGCTAAAAGCGGCGTAAAACCAAACTCACTCACTCACTCGCTTAGTTCAACCCATACTATCATATGGTGCGGCAATATGGGATACCAGGCAGTTTGGTTGTATCAATTCTGTCCAGAATCGGGCATTTAGATTCTTTAAGTTGTAGGAAGTAAAACCCCAATTTGGCCGTACGTGGAGAGATGGGTTGGGCACTGCCTTTTACAAATCAAAAGATTGGCATTTTATCATATTCTTGAGTAAGCTAATAAACTTGGAATAAACCAGATTACCAAGTCTGATCTTTAGATGGTCAAATCAGTACCCAAAGTCCTGGAATAGTACTGTTTATAAATTTATTGATAATCTGAATTTACCATTCGATCTCCATGATATCTCAAGAGCTGATTTGTATCATATTAAAGTCTGGACTAAGTCTCTTGATAGTCAATCCTGGTACAACGATCTGTATAACGACCGTGGTCAACTTAAAGGGAAATCAATGACGAACTTATCGGTTATTTAAGAAACTATTAAAGCCAGAACGGTATGTCACCTCACTGTTAACAAGATCCCAACGTAGTGTACTGAGTCAGCTTCGCTGTGGCACTTTGCCTCTTGAGATAGAACTAGGCAGGTATTCCCACCCGAAAACACCTTTACAAGACAGGATCTGTAAATTTTGTTGCAGCAAATCTGTTGAAGATGAGTTACACTTTCTCGCCAAGTGCGACTTTTATTCTGATATCAGATACAATTTATGGCAGGATATCTCCCGTATTAACCCTCTATTTTCACAAATGTCTTCAAAGAATCAGTCTATGTTCTTATTACGTAATAAAAGATTTGTGAAGCCTCTTGCCGCATTAATATCACAAATGTATAATAGACGAAAACACGCGTTTTAGTCCAAGACAATGATTATCGTAATGTATATTATATTTTAACGTTTTAGTCTTGTCTTAATAATTATCACATTTGTATGTGGTTTTAAAGTTGTTATCATGTCTCATGGGACGAAGGGCCGGGTGGTCAGCATATTTTACTGTGTATTTTGTGTGATTTTAACAAGTCAATTGTATACCACATTACACGTTAATAAAGTGTTTTCTGCTTCCTCCTCTTTCTTCTATAATGGGGCGGTGGGGTAGCCTAGTGGTTAAAGCGTTGGCTCGTCACGCCGAAGACCCGGGTTCGAATCCCCACATGGGTACAATGTGTGAAGCCCATTTCTGGTGTCCCCCGCCGTGATGTTGCTGGAATATTGCTAAAAGCGGCGTAAAACCAAACTCAGTCAGTCAGTCAGTTCTTCTATAATGTGTCTCCATGCTTACCTGCGGCATGGTATCTCAGTGGGCTAGCACTATAAAACCAGCTTCAGTCTGGGCTAATACAAGCAGCCACACATACACACGCATGCATGTCGTCATATGAGCAAAATCTTCTCAAGCACGACGTTAAACCCCATTTCTCCTCACCTCACTTTGACAAATAGAAAACTATTGAATGCAATATACCTTTTATAAATCCATTTAACGCAGTTCTCAGTAGATGTGGAATATCAGTTTGGGTTTTTATGTAGGTCACAGTCTGCCCCGTCAGCACGTCCTTGTCAGCGTATTCCGTCGACATATCCTGCGACCATGAACACTGCAGACCTACTTTTGGTACACCTTCTGAAGAACTGCATTTACCCAGGTATACCATGAGTGTATTAGTGAACATGAACAGTCGTATAAATAACAGAAACAACAAAACCCTTTCAACATCCAGAAATCTGCTAAAAGAAGAACCGATTACACACTTTTAACCATATCAGGCCAGACAATCCAGTGATTGACAACATTCGCTACGAGAGACGTGTTTATGAGCTTAATGGTTTCAAAGTCTCATTTTCAGTAACACGTGCATCTGAAATACTGTCCGTGCCAGTATGTTTAAAATAATGCGTCTCTCGCGCACCAAGTTACACACAAATGTCAAAGGTGTCTCTATTTAGCAAAATATATATCTTTGCCTATGATATCTTCCTTTAATTGAAATTTCGTATTGCCTTAGCGATGTTCAGGTGCAGTTCACACCAACTGAATATAGAAGCTGGTAGATATATAAAGAAACCAAAAAATTCAAGATTGCGTGAAATGTGTTCCTGTAACTATGTAGAAAATGAGTACCACTTTTTACTGATTTGTACTGCCTATGATGATCTACGTAAACGTTTTATCCCTGTCGATGTTTTCACCCCTCCAACATTGTGTAAATTTAATCGACTGATGAGTAATGCTACTCCTCTGGTTTTAAGAAATCTTGCCTTGTTTATCTTCTATGCTAACAATCGTCGTCGCTGCAGCTTGAAGGCTGCCAATGTATAACGTTGTACCATGGGCCGATGGCCTACATTCACATGAATAAAGACTAAAGACTAAAAAAAAAAGGATGCGATGATGTCTCATGTACAGTCAAACCTCAAAACGTGATGATTTTGCCACAATCATCTTCAACTCAACTGGTTCCTAAATAACGGGTCCTAACGGTGCCCCGGACGGGGTAGGATAGATGCACTTTCTCGCCAACCTCTGGTTCCATCACTATGTTATAGGGGCGGTGGGGTAGCCCAGTGGTTAAAGCGTTCGCTCGTCGCGCCGAAGACCTAGGTTCGATTCCCCACATGGGTATAATGTGTGAAGCCCATTTCTGGTATCCCCCGCCGTGATATTGCTGGAATATTGCTACACCATAACCATACTCACCCACGCACTATGTCACAGAGATTCATAAACACATGCTTGTGATGCAGGCTTTAGCAGAGATTTCTCATGGATGTGGAACGGGTTTTGACACCATGAATCTGGACGATACCGGTCCAATAGGAATCATCTCGATTAACCAGTGTCTGGATTAACACATGCCACCTACATACAGTACATACAGACAGACAGACAGACAGACAGACAGACACACACACACACACACACACACACACATACATACATACATACATACATACATACATACATACATACATACATACATACATACATACATACATACATACATACATACATGAATATATGAATTTACATCATGCTTATAAACACAACATTTTCTTAATTGTAGGATATGATGATATTGATATAGCGGGAGGCCAATATCCAGCCCTATTCATCATAAATTGATGTTTACAATAAGGAAACACCGAAGGGTGTTATTTTTATTGTAAAGCACTCATATATATAGTGACTTATTTCTATAGATGTCTATCACGAAGTAGCTATATAAATACAGTGTTTCAGTCACTCACTCACTCACTCATCATACAGTGTGATGCAACTATTTGACTTCAGAATAGTCTTTTGGCCGCCCCTTTAAGTGAGTGAGTGAGTATCGTTTCACGATGCTTTCAGCAATAATCCAGCAATATCACGGCAGGGGACACCAGAAATGGGCTTCACATATATGGGGAATCGAATGACAAGCGGACGCATTAACCATCGTGATGCCCTTTAAGGTATACGGGGTCGCCTGTTAACAGTTAATTGAAGAAGGCATTGCGACGATCTGTGGCGCTAAAGAAGTAGTTCCGGCTAGGTGGCTTTATTTGATCATCGGACAAGACTTCTGAATTGATAACGCTACGTTAAATGACAACAACTCTTCCTTCCCCCATCTCAGATATGCTTCTCCATTGTGAAAACTTAATACAACAACGAAATGATTTCTTTCCATACATAATTGAAAAACTTGATGTTGAAGCTTACGTAATATACTACCCATCAAAAGTTTTATATATAAAAGTTTTTCAATAATGTGATATTTTACGATCAGTGATAGCAAAACAAAGTTGTATCAATCATGAATAATATCCTAGGGTTAGAAATGATCAGTGCAAAGTCACAGCACAGGTCTGGGAACCCAAATTATGTACAATTCACATCTCTGATTATATAGTCTAACCATTATAATGCGATTTTGAAAAGTCCTAAATATCCGTACATATGTCTCTAAACATGTTGTAATAATATGATGTTTTTGTTTGTAACATTCGGTAACTACTGGAGGAAATAAACTCTCTCTCTCTCTCTCTCTCTCTCTCTCTCTCTCTCTCTCTGAACCCGCGTCTTTGGCCCCGCTCTCGAACGCTTTAACTCCTCTCAGCCCCGTACAATTACAATACAGTAATACAGTATGACCCCATGAATCTGGACGATACCGGTCCAATAGGAATCATCTCGATTAACCAGTGTCTGGATTAACATGCCACCTACTTTCCCGCCATGTTCGGTTAGTGGAATTTCAAAGGTATGTTTACTGCGTATCTCAGTCCCATCACTTCTGTCAGGTCCACCAAATAGATCAACCAGTGAGGTAGGTCATCATAACATCGTGGATTTTAGGAATACACATTGTACCCACGTGGGGAATCGAATCCGCGTCTTTGGCGTGACGAGCGAACGCTTTAACCACTAAGCCACCCCACCGCCCCTCGTGACCAAGACTGACTGGGTGACGGCGCTTTCAACGGACTGTATTCCAGTTACATCACGGCATATTAATGTGTAAGGAAATCTGGAAGTGATGCAGATTGTAGATAGTTATCATTTGGGTCGAACCTACGAACACGGGCGTGGTGCTAACAAACCCAGAAACGTAATCAAGACGAAGCGGGATTCGAACTCACAATCATAGCTCACAGAATACCCAAGGTATCTTAAACAATATAGCAAGTCTTCTAATGAATTTCTTTCATCTGAAAACTCTGATGCTGTATATAACTTATGTCTATGTTAATATAAAGTCCAACAGCTAAGAGAAACTTAATCAATTACTTCACTGGCATGCGTGCATAATGCAACCAAAAATTGTTTGTATTATGGGCCTATGGCATTTTTACTGAATATACTGTTTATATGTATGTCTGTCAGAATATCAGAGTGATGCAACAGTATAGCGCTACTCAACCAAGAGATCCTTTTCCTTATTTCGGCCAGGGGCGGTGGGGTAGCCTAGTGGTTAAAGCGTTGGCTCGTCACGCCGAAGACCCGGGTTCGATTCCCCACATGGGCACAATGTGTTAAGCCCATTTCTGGTGTCCCCCGCCGTGATATTGCTGGAATATTGCTAAAAGCGGCGTAAAACTAAACTCAGTCAGTCAGTATTTCGGCCATGTCTGGACACAGCATCTAAGCATTTCTAAGCATCTGGTTATGATCTCTAGTTTGCTAAGACCAAGCGTCACTCCGGGATGTCCTCCCACATTTAGCAGACACGCTGTGTTCTTACATTTCATTCAATGCGGCATTAACCCTGCAAACCCACTTGGTTTCAGTTCACAGTGTCCAATCGTAAATGTTAGATCATTAAGATTACCCATGCAGCATCAGAAATCCCGCCGTCAGTATCAGATGATGAAGATGCCATCAACCCACAATATCAACAGTTTTACTACGCAGTATGATATCAACATTGAAATATATGTGAAGGTTATATATCACACCACTTTGTCAAATCCCTGTTAATTAATAATTTGTGTAAACAAAATACCCATCGGCTCGAGCGGATGAACTTGCATTATAGTCAGCTTTCTACATCCGCCAGCGGAGGAAGAGGCACTCATCTCTTCCGTGGCGGCTGGCAACGATGTCTGCTGCACCAGCGCGAATTGTGTCTTGCAACAACACCGACGTCAGAAGGAGATTTTCCGATACGAAATCTAATAAAATCTATTAGTTATTAATATCGCGACCAACAGCAAGGAATTGTTGAAAATTCAAGGGGTAGCCCAGTGGTTAAAGCTTTCGCTCGTCACACCGGAAGCTGGGATTCGATTCTCATCCTGATGTCAATATTTTAAGCGTCTTGTTTGAGTCTTCAAGTACGTAATAGATGATATTCAGTTTATCAGACCAAGCAAAAATAGTTCACACATGGGTTCTCCAGAAATTGTGCCTGACACAAGTTTATGGATAACATCTTCTTGTCTATTGTATAGATCGACGTTTCGGTGTACATTTCCGCTTGACAACGGTCTAGGAATTTACACCAAAACAACGTTTTATTTAATAAACAAGAATTTGTTATCCATAAAATTGTAATCTTCCTTACTGACTCACCAATTTCTGGAATGACGATGAAAGTATTATGTGTTATGCTTGTTTTAAGGATACGCAAGCCTTCATAAAAATCCGAAAAAATAATATGTTGTTTTTTTCCCATTTCATAAAAATGATACTGAAATACCACCCACAGATATCAGACTGATAAATATATGGAATCACACATGTCAAGGTATGGATTATTCATCAGGTACCCATAAGAAAACCAGGCTAATATTTTATCATCACTTTATCTCCTATTGATTCAAATCACACTAATAGCTGACTGCACAAATCCTGTACATGAGTTTTACTATTAATTTTAGCCCAATTTATTTCACTTTCGGAACGCTTTAAACCAAATGCCATCTGCAATGACGCTGCATCGTCCTATGCCGTTGTTTGGTTGCGCCAGGATCCGCTTATCGGGTGTTTGAGTTTCATAGTCCACCCCATTACGATGCTTTCTTTGTGGGTTAATAGAAACGTTTTCGATTGTTGGAATATTCTCCCGCACGATGCTTGCGCCGAAGAAGCGTTTTTCTTCGTTTTAGTGAGTGAGTGAGTGAGTGAGTATAGTTTTACGCCGCTTTTAGCAATATTCCAGCAACATCACGATGGGGGACACCAGAAATGAGCTTCACACATTGTACCCATGTGGGGAATCGAACACGGGTCTTCGGCGTGACGTGCGAATGCTTTAACCACTTGGCTACCCGCCGATCCTTTCTTTGTTTTATCAATGGATGGACTGTATTGTACACGCTGTCAGTACACACGTATATGCTTCATGTGTGTAGGAATAATATTTCCCATACGACACGTAGATACGCATGTGCATGCTTGCGTGCGTGCGTGCGTGCGTGCGTACGTACGTTCGTTGTTTGCACGTTGCACTCAGCAACTGTCCTGCTGTATGACAGCGGCATATAAGTATTCGAGCCTGGACTAGACAGTCCAGTGATTGATATAAGGAGTTGCAATTCATACGTAGTCGGGTTGACGTACATCAGCGAGCCTGGCTAGCTATTCTCGAAGCGTTCGTAGCCGTACGAACTCCCTAAGCCCATTCTTAACACATTGGCTACGATCATAGTTAAGAATTCTTAGAGCTAGAAACGTTTCGAGAATAAGGGCCTTGGCCACTAAGTCGCCTTAAAGCTCGAATATTGCGAAGTGCTCCGTAAAACTACGTCGTAAATACATCATATTTTTAACTCTTTGTTCTTATCACTACATCCGACTACCAAAAAATAATGTACATTGGTGACTGTCGAAACCGGCAAAAACTACTGGTTCACAAAGAGCGCCGAACTTCAAATAAAACAAGAAAAAATTGTGTCCAGGGACACGGATGCCCCCGCTGACATTCATAAGACATATAAAGATCAATAATTGAACAAAATTCACGAACAAGTTCAATAAACATCTATGCAACTAAGACATGCACACCTTTCGAGTCTCAATGAAACACTCGTATAAGCTTAATCAATTCTGTTGAGCAGTTATTGTGGAGAAATGGATAGACTTAATCCCCTATTTCACTATCATCAGAGAGAAATTCAGGAAAATTTATCTAAGATCAAAATTCTCTAAACATACAAAAAATTATAAAATACGAAAACAAAATATGAGATGCACACCTTTAGAGTCTCTATAAAAGACATATGTAAGCTAAATGAGTTTTGTGCAGTGGTTTTGAGGAGAAGTGGATAAAGTACACCCCCTGTTGTATGGGACGAACTGGATGAATAGAGCCAATTCAAGTTCAAACATCTGTAGAAGTGACAAAATTAAGAAATTGGATGAACAAGGTATGAGACGCACACCTTTAGAGTCCCAATGAAACACACATAGAAGGCCAATTCTGTTGAGCAGCTTTTGTGGAGAAGTTGATAGACTTCATGCCCCATAACACTATATTCAGAGAGAAATTCAACGTTGAGTGAGTGACTATTTAATACAACAGATCATAGGGTCCATATTAAAGAAGATCCATCTGCATGTTGGTTGCCGTTGAGTGACAAACAAGAGCTTTAACCACGCGGCTAGCCCATCACCGCGGTTAACGGTCTTTCTTTAAGTAGCCATGATGCATTGTCTAATGTAATGCAGCTTTAAACAGTAAGCGCTGCGCACAAGTGAAAATGCTTTACGCCGTTTTTAACTATACTCATGGCGGGGGACATTAGCAATATTTGTTTAAGACATCCAGAGTGTCCAGCGAAAAACAAAGTGAAAAGAAACTTGAATCTTGTGTCATTTTCTGGAACAAATATTTGTATATGGTGTCATGGCAGTTCACATCACTGCACTGCATCATATAATTAATGCCCTCTTCTGAGTTCAATCCCTTCCATTCCCTAGGGAAAATACCTTCCAGTCCAACCTGCTAATTGCTGAATGAAATGCGCAAGGTTTCGCTGCAATGAGAAATTATAGATCATGTTTGAGTTGGTTTATTCTGTTCGCCTCATTAGTATTTACTTCATGTTTTCGTAAAATGTTTATTTTCAGTCATACCCTAATATTTTCCGTATACAAGTTGTAATTTCTTTAATGGTTTTCCATGTTGCCTGTGACTATTAATAGAATTATTTTCCAAGCTCTGACACAACAGGGAATTCCCCTAGTCGGGTGACATCATATATAATCATTGACTGCTGCTCATGGATTAAGTTGTGAAGCGGTCTTGACAATCGGTTGTTCTGTGAGTACTTTTAAAGGTTCATACTCATACCTTGACATAGAGATATACTATTTTGATTGATCTTGTGCAGCATGAATGTGAGACCTGATTGTGTCTAAAATGTTTGTGTTGGGCATTAACTGCACTGTGCGATGTACAAGTGTTAGAGAAACAAGGAAATATTTTAAACTGAAACTGGGCCAGCCAAAGCATTGATAGATAACGCAGAATCGTTTGTGTATGGATGACACATGTTTTATGTATCGTGAGTCTCTTTTTTCCGCATGAAACAGAAACACAAATAACAAACACTGACTTAATTGGAAAAAAGCTAGTCCTGGTATACGAAATCCAGTGCTTCTGTAGCCCATAACAGTTTCAATATTGTTTTATGCTACGATTCATGCAACACATAGAGAGTGTGACATCTTCCTCTCGGTGTATTGTGTTCTGTGTATATTTAATCATCCCGAAGCCGCTTAAAGCATCCATTATCTTTCGTTATTCCATTTCATAATCAGTATAAAGTTGACATGGGCGACATTTTCCACCGGAAACAATAGTGTAACAGATATTTTGCGTATTTCCTTGTTTCTGTCACATTAGCTATGGAAACCAGATATTAGATGTGAATATATGTAACTTATCTGCCTTTTCAAATCGCCACCATTGCCACCCGCAAGTTTCGATGAAGCGAAACTCACCACGTTCGATAGAAACCATGACTTCGAGTTAAAGAGGGTCCAGGTTTGGGAATCTATGGTGGTTTGTTGTTTAACGCCGCACCTAGCAATTTTCAAGCTATGTGGCGGCGGTCTGATAATAATCGAGTCTGGACCAAACAATCCAGTGATCAACAGCAAGAGCATCGATCTATATAACTGAGACACGACGATGTGTCAACCACAGGGGCGTGTCACGCTTAGAAACAGCGTTAGAAAGACATATAGGTATATAGACCCTACCCTAGTACTATATAAAAGGAAAGGGATGTAACGACGGAACCACCCCCTCCTCAATCCAAGTTAGATTTCACCACGTAAACTATTTTTAAGGTCCCGTCGAGGCCTACGGATCAAAAGCGAGATGATTTCCCTACAAAATGAGCTATAAATGGTCACAATCGGATCATTATTTCAAAAGTTATACGCCACGACTCACCGAAAACAGCTACCTCCGCAATTCCAAGCCAAAATCATGGATCACCCAAGACAGCGAAAACTCACCTTTTAAATTCGTTTATTAATTCCAGCCACGTTGACAGCACCTATGTAGGGCTAGATTCGATCGGCAGCGCCATTCCACGGGTCTAAAAACTTATTGAGAAATATGACACTATACGACTGGACCCAGCAAACATCAAAACAAAACGAAAGTGACAATGTATGTAGTGATGTTGGTTTAACATCCTGGTGGAGCCACATATGAACAATGTGCATTAGGAAGAGTTAGCATTCGGACGTCGCCCATTGGACATGGGAAATTCCAGTTACACCAGCGGGAAGAAGGGGGTTGGGGGTCGGCTGGGGGAGAGGGATACAGTTTTTCGAGAAGGGGAAGAAAATGTGGTGTTAGATCGTGTTCTACTGACTGTCGGGAATATCCCGTTTGCTGTGACAATATTCACTTCCTTAATTTATTTCATGGCATTCAAGGGGCGAGGAAATTGAAAATCATGTATTGAAACACAATCTGGGCGATAACACGACTAAGGGCGTTTTTCCTTCCGGGAGCAGTGATAACCTTGATTGTCAATGAAATGTCACTGTCAAATTGTCGATTTCTATAACTTATATGGACCATAACCTAGTTATATTACTTTTTCCTTTCATCCGTTGAATTAAACCAAAAGTTACAAATAAATGAAAAATCAAACAAAGAAATATCATATACATCTAAATTTACTTATATTTTATACAGATGGAACAATTGTTTCTCAATCCAAGTCCTTCCAGAAAAATGAAATGTCTTACCACAAATACTCGATATTTTATACACATTCTAATCAATAACATTTTTTCACATTTTCAGATAGGTTTGTAACGTTTTAATAAGGTTAGGCGAAGATTGATCAACTTAAATTGCCATCAGAGGTCACCATGAGATCAAGGCCATCCACACCGTGTACACCTTTATCTCTCTCCACGGAAAACCCCCTGACCAGGAGGTCACGCAGCACCGACCCCACTTCCCCTTACACCACGGAGGAATATAAATACAGGAAAACGCGCCACCATTTCCAGCGCCTTATAAGCGAGAATACATCATGTGTCATCAAGTGTGTGGTAGTTATCTCCCTTGGGCTTAACATCGTCGCGATCCCTGCTTTGGTCGGCGTGGTGTTTGGGCCTGTCATGCATTGGTCTTGCAATCTGAAAGATAAGCTGTCAAACAACGTATGCCTACCCTGTGGAGAGGATGGAGTACCCGGGGTGGATACAAAGCGCACAGAGAGCGGATACTGCTGCGTTGAGGCTTCCAACCCAGATCTGCAAGCTCTTCTTGAGAAGAAACTTGTGAGTTATGTCCCTTTGTTCACAATAACCAGTCTGGTCACTTGATTATTTTGTAAGGCCAGTTTCGTATTCTTACATGAGAGCACGAGGTTATATTTGTTGACGCATAGTTGACGGAAATCCAGTGTAAAAGTTCTGTGCAGAACCAATGGACTGACAATGAACCAGTTTAAATGCAACGTACCGAGGCCTGGACAGGCCGTGTCATTATAATACAATACAATACAAAATTTGGGTGAAATGATCACGACAAACGTCGAGACAAAGCACAAGTTTGAATAAGGGTTTAATTACCCAGCTATGTGACGGTAAATAATCAAATCTGGACCAGACAAAACCTTTGATTGATATCATGAGCATGGCCCTACGTAGTTGGGTTACGATGACATGTGTCAACCAAGTCAGCGAGCACACCACCCGACCCCATTAGTAGCCACTTACGAGAGGCATGGGTGGCTGAAGATCAGTTTTAACCCGGATCTTCACGGGTGCTTTCCACTGTGGCCTGGTTAGTCCTTTGTCATTGTACATGGACTGCGAGAATATGTGTTACTGGTCATAAAACATGTTTATACCGGACAAACTGCTTAAAGGCAGACTGACCCCGGGTTAATCGGCAGTCCCGGCAAATTATACATATTCATTTTTTTATTCCACAGATTCGGACCTCTCCTGTTCTGGGCAATCGTCGCAAATGTGAACCAGGTAACTATTGCGCGTAATACCATCCAAACATAGCTAAAACATTACGATGTACATATAGACGCCCCTCATGTCAGTTATTTTACTCATGTGTATATAGGAAGGGGGTCAGCGATCAAGTGCGTGGGTAGCAGACATATGCTCCACAGATTGTACCCATGTGATGTATCGAACCCGCGGGTTTTGCGTTGTGAGTAGCGAACGCTTTATCCACTGGGCTACCCAACCGCCGTATACAATATGAACCCCAAATGCATCTTTTGCTTTGAACATATCATCTGGCATTACAATATTGTTCCAGATGGATCCGGACAGAGGAGGACTAAAAGCCGGAAACCACTGAGGCCCCTTACCCTGGCCAGGCTTATCCTGGATGTTAAGGCGACCAAACACGGTGAGTGAGTGAGTGAGAAGATGCGGTGCAGGTGATGCAGATCATGTTCCCTTGCGTTCTTAATGGCACATTATCCGTGAAGGTCCGGGTTAGAATTGGTCTTCAGTGACCCATGCTTGTCGTAAGACGCGACTAAGGCGATCGGGTGGTCAGACTCGTTGACACATGTCATCGGTTCCCAGTTGTGTAGATCGATGGGTATGCTGCATGTTGATCACTGGATTGTCTGGTCCAGACTAGAATATGTACAGACCGCCTCTATGTAGCTGGGATATTGCTGGCTGTGGCATTAAACAAGCAAACAAAATACGATACGGGAGGAAAACCCGAAATGATGCAGGTGCCAGAAATTTACCATTTTGGTGAAGCCCACAAGCAAGCGTATACTACTGACAAACTTAAAATACAATTGATTCGAACCACGATCGTAGATTTTTGCCTGTCCAAGGGACGCAACTCTGCACAGCAATCGGGATTATATAACTCAAAATATCGCCTTTCTTTTGTTTTCAGACAGGGAGTTCAGATGGTTAGGGGATGATCCACATGGCCTCGCTTTCGTTCAAGGCGATCTGTCATTCGACGGGGGGTCGTTTCAAGTGCTGAAAGGTGGAATATTCCGAATCCGGAGTCATCTCAGTTTTGACACATATTTCAACAAGTTACCCCGCGCAGCTGATCATATACAGAATCACGATGTCTTGAAGAAGATGCATGGTGGATACGATACTTTAATGACGGAGAAAGTGACTATAAAAAACCGGACGTACTTGTCGTCTGACATTGACCTTACTATTAAACTGCGCGCCAACGACAGCGTGTGTGTAAACGTGAACACTTTCTCGCTGCTGTACAATCTTCCATTAGCGAATACTTTTGAGATTGAGAGAATATCGTCTTGAGAATGCTGACAGGAATGCTGGAATGTGTGCGCGTATGTGCGTGTGCGTGTGCATGGTGGGATGAGTATAGGCTTAATAGTAGAAGTATGCCACACTGTGAATGAATGGGGTGAGGTGTGGCGGGGTAATTTATCCAAGCACAAACCGGCAGGAACTTAATCGACCTCGCCAATTGTTAGATTGAAATGCTGGATGTCTTGTAAAAAAACGGGTTGTGAACAAAATACGGAAATTACCGATATTTTGCGAATGCAAATCGATGGAAGGGAGATAACTCTAAATCTGTTTCTGTTGTCAGCAAAATGTAGCGATGGCTACAAAAAGATTTGTACCCGTGCTTCAAACAATTCAAAATTAACATTAAGGTGTTCGGTACGATATATACGTTGTTCACTGGTCCCTTGGGGCCCATTGGTTGATGTACCCTCGATGTTTGTTTATGTTCCCTGAGCCCGAAGCGGCGAAGGTGAGGGCGAGGGGAACATAAACAAACATCGAGGGTACATCAACCCATGCACCCCTCGTGACCAGTGAACAACTTATATTGTTATACATACTGGCGCTCGCATGTACATGTTCAACTTCTAAAACGTGAAAATGTAAAATGGGCCGGTGGCCCCATTACAAGTTATAAACTCATTCATTCATTCACTCAAGCTCACTCCAACAAAGATTCCAATGTTTATGCATATATTTCTCTAAAGTAACTTGCCATTCAGTAGCATAGTGATGACGACGTCAGTGCGTGTTTGTCCTTTTCGTTTCAATTCTTAAAAGAAAAAGTGTGAAAATTCTCTCTCTCGCTGAACCAGCGAACGAATTGGTTGAATATGATTCCAACAAGGAGGTCTCAATAAGTAATCCAAATAGTTTGAAATCATTCCCTTTTGTGTTTCTTTTTATAAAATTGAAAGAATAAACGAAATGTCTTGCTTGTTGGTTCACCTGTAATAAAATGTGTTACTTAAAAAGATCTTTGAATCCCAATCTCTACTAGGTGTTTGTCACCAGCATGTAAATATCTATGTCGCTGATTTTGTTTGGGTGACGAACAAATTGACACTGGCAAAATGTTACGCTCCTGACGTCACTGCCGTTTTTTTGTTTTTTTTGTAAAGATGCAAGTCATCTGTTCATGTCACAATAGTTGTTTTACGTGCGTTGCTATGATCTTCCGGGTTAAATTTGTGGAGGGGAAGGGGCAGCTTTTGATTGGGTAGCGAATGGGGATTGGGTAGCGAATGGGGATGGGCTCATTTGCTGTACATATATACGTTCTATCGTTAAATGTCATAAATAGTTTATTTTATTTTGAAAATCTTCCCGGCAAAAGAAAGAATACACCAATAATGTTTGTTTGATGACTTAAATTGTAAAGTCTGAAATCGTTTTTATATGATACGGGTGCGAGTGAGTTTAGTTTTACACAGCTTTTAGCAATAGTCCAGCAATATCACGGCGGAGGATACTAGAAATGGGCTTCACACATTGTACCCATGTTGGAATCGAACCTGGGTCTTCGGCGTGACGAGTGAACGCTCTAACCACTAGGCTACCCAACCGCCTCTGAGTAATACGGCTGTCATGGTTGTGCTTTGGACTATAATGTTGCAGAGTTTCAGCGGCAGTTATGGGCCTTTGAACGTGTTGCTAACGTTCGTCAGCTTTTGGTAAAATACATTTTTTTGTATGTATACTTTCTTTCGCTCTGCAGTATATTTAGTCTATTTATGTCACAATTATTTAATAAACAAATTAATAAACACCTAATGAAATTCATAATTTGTCCTAATTGCTTCACGAATCCATTGCCGGAATAAACCTGGACTATATTACACTGTGTCTTCCTGATTCGATGAAGGTTCATAACACCTGAGCTCTCGTTGTCACTTTCCTGTCGGCTACGATCGAGGAAGTTCCCGATACTATTTTTAGACGTTGGTGCACATGCGTGAGGTCACTGGGAATTCCCCTCTGAGAAACTAGTTCCTGGTCGTAATTCTTATCTCAAGGTAACGAAAATTAAAAGAACATCGACTATTCTGAATCGCGGAAGATAAGTTTAAACACGCTTTGTAAATACGTCGTCGCACAAGACAGACAAGATCAACCTCTGGCTATAAACTTACACCGAAAGAATAATAAATTACCCGATGGTGTAAAGATACAAAAAAATGTAAGTTAATTGCAAATGTAAACATAGAACACTTTTTTTTAATGCCTGACAAATTGTGTTGTGCCCAAAGAAAATAAATATGCCCATTTTAATCGTTTACTAATTAATAAATTAATTAAGTTTATATTTGACAGTAACTATATTATGTATTTTATAGCTGTATGTTAAGACAATACAAAATAATATCTGAACGACATAAATGATCAATGAAATGGATCTTTAGGTATCTATGTAAGTCATGTGTTCGGTGCTGAAACAAACACACAGAGACATTCTTAGCCAGTATGCATGACCTCGAGGTCAAATCGAAAGCGAGGCTAACGTAGGCAAACACAAAATGGCGACCTCCACGCGGAAAGATTATTGTTGTGTGCCTTTGTGTAGAAGCGATGCCCGGAGAGACTTTGACGTGTCTTTCCACCACATCCCCAAGGATGAGACCGCGAGGAGGCAGTGGATAACTAACATACGCAGAGAACCAGGAAAAACATTCAGAGTGAGCACTGAGCATACATACAACGAATAATAATAATATATGTGCTCGATCACGACACAGTTATATACAAGTTGGCAGGGGCGGATCCAGAGGAGGGATGCCCTGGTTTGCGACGCAGACTAATTTCTTTTGATAGTAATTGTCATGCAATACAATCTAGTCTTGTAAGTCAGTCCCTAAACTGACATGAAATATAATACATTCGCTTGTCAATTGTACAATACAACTAGCCGAGAGCCGCGATGCGGTCCTATACAGTCAAGACATGACCGCGATGCAGGGTCATGTCTTGACTGTATAGGACCGCATCGCGGCTCTCGGCTACAATACAACGAGCCATTTTAATTAGGGAAAGATTTCAGCCCGTAACCCCCGTAATTTTAATCAATATATGCCTAAGAATATAGGTCTATGGGTTTTAAGCCTAAACCTAACCCTAAACCCTCGAAATAATAGAATAAATTGAATACATTTCAAGCGGAGGTTACGGGCGGAACTCTTACCTTAATTTGTATAGTTGATTTTCTATTAACTTATAATTATGTATGTTACGGTTATCTCCCAAAACTTAGACCGCCAAATCTTAGACAGACATAACTTAGACACTAATGAAGGGGATTAATTAAGGCAACACCCATGGCTGAAATGGAACAGTCCTAATTAATGTTCCTGCTGAGTAGACCTAGCTTGTATTCAGAAGTAAATGATATGAACTGTACAAGTGGGATTAAGTTTAAAGATGCATGCTATGTTTTCATTTGAATATCTCCTCACAAGATGAAAGAAACTGTAAAGTATGTGTAAATCTCATTACATTAATATCAGATATAAAAAGTCCTGCCCCAGATTAGGTCAGTATTCAAACTTCCCTAACCCCCCCACCCCTCCAACCCCTATTTATACTTACTCTATTTATACTTACTCTCATTTTAATTATATACCTCTATCACTTCTTAACTAACATTACTGCTATTTTTTTTATCACTTTCCCTTCATAACCTCGGCTTTTATTTATTTTCATCTCATGTTTTAAAACGTTTTTATTCCAAATTCCATGTTAGTTAACGCCCCCTCACTTATATTTTTTTTGGTATGGTGGTTCATTCCTTAATATAAACATATTAATTATTACACTAGCACCCACCTACCCTATCCGCGACATTGGCTACAGCCATTTGTTACATCTTGGTTAGGGAAATTTTGTATCAGATAAATGCTGTGCTTAATGTGTCAAGGATGTCATGATAATGACCAGTAAGCATTACATGTTATGTGCAAATTAAATGTTGTCATATACAAATATTATATTTTAGGGAATTTTTTCCTGTTGAACTTGTAATAAATATGCTGAATGAACATAACGTCTTGTCTAATTGATTCTACTGGACTGATCCATTATAAGAAATAGGTATCAGCTTGAGGATTAGTTGTACACTGAACCAGAAATCATGGGATGAATTTTGAAAGGGGTGGGGTGGGGGGTCAGGGGTTCGAACCCCTGAATCCCCCATTGACTCCACCAACGCAAAAAAAAATCTTCAATGTGGTCTTAAGTTATTTTCAAAAGGGGGTGGGTCGAACCCCCTGAACCCCCTTTCTGGATCCGCCAATGAGAAATGTTGTTGTTTTAAGCTGTCTAAGATATGGCGGTCTAAGTTTTGGGAGGTTACTGTATGTTACAGTAAATATGTATATTTACTGCTTTTTTCAGTGATTCAGTCAGGGAAATTTTGAAATTTTCAGTTAAACGAAGACGAAAATCGATGCAATGTGCTCGATTTGTGACGATGGCCTTGAAGACGAATACCATACCTTAATAATATGGCCTTTATACACACATACAAGAGATAAATATATACCACTATATCACCATAAGTATCCATCTAAACAAAAATTTCATTCAATTACTGTCCAACCATGATACTGCTATTTTAAATAATCTAGCAATTTATGTGACTAAAATGTTTCATATCTGTAATACAAACCATGCTTGTATACAAACCATTACGTTTGAATTATTTATGTAAAGTGTACTATAGGCCTCACAGGCCATCCATCAGTCTGAGTCTGAGAATACAAGAGTCTGAGTCTGATTTCAGTAAATATGTACAATGAATGGATGTAGAGAGTCTGAGTCTGAGACAAACAAACAAATCTTTGTTTATAATTTTCACTTTTTGATCTGATCTTGATTTCAGTAAATATGTACAATGAATGGATGTAGATTAAAAAGTAAATATGTATATTTCCTCATTAATATATTTTTATTATGATATAATAATAACATTATCAGCAGATTCAAGACATGGCCTGGGAAGAAACAATGCATTATTAAATATATATTTTAATTTGATAGATGTGTAATATTTGTTGATCCATCTTATGACTTGATTTAAAGATAACCTCCAACACAGAGTAAATATACATAAGTAAATATCAGAAATGAGTAAATATACATAATCACTGAAAAAAACAGTAAATATACATAATCACTGAAAAAAACAGTAAATATACATAATCACTGAAAAAAACAGTAAATATACATAATCACTGAAAAAAACAGTAAATATACATAATCACTGAAAAAAACAGTAAATATACATAATCACTGAAAAAAACAGTAAATATACATAATCACTGAAAAAAACAGTAAACATACATATTTACTGATTATACATATTTTCTGTAACATATATTCTGTACTGTTAACCTAAAATTTTAGTTTGTTCACCTAATATTATATTAATCTTATTATTTAATATATTTTTATTATGATATAATAATAACATTATCAGCAGATTCAAGACATGGCCTGGGAAGAAACAATGCATTATTAAATATATATTTTAATTTGATAGATGTGTAATATTTGTTGATCCATCTTATGACTTGATTTAAAGATAACCTCCAACACAGTTGTGTGTAGCAAGCACTTCATGAAGGAGGACTTTAAGTGGACACCAAACAGAAGAACATTAAAGCAAGGTGCTGCTCCCTCCTTGTTTGCGTGGACAGAAGGTGGTGCCACAGACGAGAAGTCATCCTCTCGGAGACCGACCTTGTTACAGGAAGTCATCCTCTCGGAGACCATCTTGTTACAGCAGTAAGGAAATTATTGATTTTAAACATGTTTCCAGGCAGCAGTCATGTTACATGTGCAGCATATGTTTTTGATACTAGTATGTCATGAAAACAAAATGCCATTAAGAAAGTGGTCGAATGTAACATGTTATATCTGAGATTACACTTTCACTGTAAAGTACAGATTCTAGTAGTTTTGTTAGGTTTAGTCCCATCCAGGATTCGAACCCACACCATCAGAGTGAGGCACATAATGGCCAGCACACAAAATTGGCTATCTAACCCACTCAGCCACCACAGCTTCCACAAACAACGGGTAGTCTAGAATACATTCATTGTGTACCCCTCTGACAAGTTTTTATTGTTAATTGAACATTCTATATAGCAGTGAAACAACTTTTTCTGCCAACATCTGTGATAGTTCAAATGTATATATGGTACACACAAGTTGTTAATTAAACCTTCATAAATACTTGTGAAAACATTGACCAGTGTCCACAGCTTCAGCAACACAGGAAAAATTATAGGTATAGGGCAGTCAAGTGTGAATAACTGAAGTATGTTTCATTTTCACATATATATTTCAGATGGTGAAGGAGAATCTATTGCACAATCTGACAAATCTCCTGCACGGAAACCACCCCAGTCACCATCTCAGACACAGTAAGAATAAACATATTTTACATACTTTTTTCCAATTTACATGTTTTTCTTGGATGTTAATAAATACGAAATGATAGGTTTCTAAATCCTATATCCTTACTCAGGAAATATTGATTTTTAGATCTTTTCTAAAGTATGAAATCATTTTGGAGCCAGTTCTTCTTTAACCTGATTTGTAATTCAGAAGAAATTTTTATTGTTTTATGTTTAGATTTTATCCATTAAATTAAAACTTTTGTAATTTAAATTCCAGGGAATAACAAAACATTTTCAATTTTTATTGATGTATGAAGGTAATGTCAGTCAAAGTATTTTATCCAATGTATCGCCACAGTGACAATTATTTGCTGTTCGTATCCTTTAAAGCTTTACAGTTATGTACAGGAAGGCTCAGTTCTATGTCACTATGTCTGTTGTTTTTATTACACTGTTTCTGTGGTTATTCCATTGTCTTAAAATAAAATTCAAATAAACTTGAATTATTATATTCATAAGTTTGTTATTTATATGGATTGATTTCAGTGCTGTTGGTGACTGAATCTTGTTTTATTACTTGATGAGATATTCCCTTTGTTATTCAGCTGTTGTGATAGAGAATACATAAACACATTCATCAATAAATTGATTTAACAATACAGTAAAACATATTTACAATAGTTTCTAATATTCAGCATGTGGGTACCATAATTCCATTCAGGTGAAATAGGTCTACAGTTGCCATTTAGTCAACTTTGTGGTTGACAGTTAAGTCTGAGAATATTTGGAGAAAAAAAAACCCCTCCCATTGTTGTCTTGTATTTTGTGTCAGTGATGTTGATTGAAAAAAAGAGTTTCTACATGATGACACTCTTCAGTTCACACAAACAATAGCCGTAGAGACCAGTCAAAGTGAGTGGGTTATTTTTATTCCGCTTTCAGCAATATTCCAGCAGAAATGATCTTCACACATTGTACCCTAGTCTGTCTCACATTCCCTGAACCACATTAATTTCCCTACTGCCAAGCGCTCTCTGCAGTGCTAAAGCCCTAAATAAAGCAAGTCTAGATTTCCTCAGGTTCTGAATCTCTGGTCTACCTAGGGCTCCTTTTCAATATAAATGGGCTTGTTTGTTACTATCAAAATTATATATATTCAGAGACTAAGCCTTAGTCTAATTGTACCCATGTGGGGAATCGAACACATGACATCGATGTGACGGGCGACAACTACCGGTAAGCTACCCTGGTTAAAGCCAGCTGCATCTGTATTTGTAATAATAATAATTGGTTTAATAATAATAGTAATAATAAGGGTACTTATATTGCGCAATACTCCACACCACAAAGGGACATGCTCAAAGCGTGCACAAATGTTTAAAAACAAACACATCAAAAGTCACATGAATCAGTATTGTAGAAGATAGTCATAAATATCAGCTTGGAGAGAGTTACTGTTTGTATCGACTGAAAAGAGGTGTTTTGAGGTTACGCTTAAACACTTGAAGGGATGGAGCTGTATGTATTTTAAGTGGAAGTGAGTTTGTTTTATATTGACCCTTACTACCAGACACGTGCATGTGGTGTTTTGTTCCTTTGGAATTAGTTGGACATTTAATTATCAGTTGGCTGTAAGGTAGGGTTTGACTAGGATCAAAGATTTTCTATCAGTTGATGCTTACTGCCAGAACGGACGGTGGGGTAGCCTAGTGGTTGAATTAAACTCAAGTTTGATTCCTCTCATGTGTAAATTTTGTGAAGCCCATTTCTGGTTTTCCCTTGCATGATATTGCAGGAATATAATCGCTAAACTAGGTGCAAAACTTCACGCATTCACTCAATCCAGACAGCTAATATCCACTCCACACTTGGACATATTCCCTGTTGATTATTGTGTCTGGCAAAATAAAAATAAGATTTGCATGAACTTCATACTTAGTGTTCTAATTCATAGCAGATTTTTCACATTTGTAAAAATTGTTAATTGAGATAAACAATTTGTTGGTCAGTGATTTAACATTGTTTTGGAAACTGGAAGCCAGCTGAGACATTCATCTACTTCTTCTAATTTTTTAAAGGTCACATGCCACCAAAAAATCAAACATAATTAAAACACAATTATCACTTATTCATGACATATAATATACAGTGCTGGTTATGAAAAAACATAAAAACAAAATTGTGACCTTTAACTGACTTGTTTGAAATTATTAATTTGTAAAACCCAAATTGACAAACTTTATGGATAACAACTTCTTTATTACGAGAGTGTGACGTTTCGATACAGATTCTTGTACCGTTGTCAAGCAGGAATGTAACATACAGTGGTGGCAAAGTATATATACTGAGTGTAACAAAGAAAACATTAGTTGTGTTCTGATTAATTGAATAATCGAAGATTGGTCGCAGTGACCAAAGTCCATACAATCGATCACGTTTTCTCATAATCGAACACAAACGATTTTGTCACTACAGTTTTAGTGTTTGAACACATTTGACAATGGAAGATGTCTTAGAAGTTGTCAGGGCCTGAAAACATGTTTAGTTCTTAGAAAACTCACTTCACTTACTGAAAAGTCATGACTGCATATTTCTCGAAGACTTCAGGAGGTTTATGTTTATGTTATATTAGTCATCACTTTAAAGTGGCAAGTTGTATAATTTTACGTTGGACGTAAAGTTTGCAAATGGAATTTGTGCAGTTTCTAAATAAAACAAAAAACAACAGAGAACCATGTTATACTTATCTGCAATAACAATTTGAATACGAAAATCTGAAAAATGACACTAACCAATGTTTATCGATGATTGCTTGTTGGTATTGAACCAGTCATCAATTGTGAGATTTCAACCAATTCCCAGCAGTATAAAATATATGCTTAAATATTTGCTAACCTTGTTGTGGTTTAGATAGGAATATTAATTAAGCCTAATTTTTAATTATATATTGTCTTTCAGTTGTGAAATACATTGTTTTTGGTATATTTCTATGGGGTTTTCTACTAAATACATTGTCACATGTTTTGAATATGACAAGAACCGATAATTGTGCATAGAATTTTATTGCATGCCAACAATGCCTAAAGAAGAATTACTATTCTATAAGTAGCATCTGCAGTAATGTGGCATTCAAAAAGTCTGAAGATTTATTCTGATTTTAAAGCCAGTGTATGAATCTATAGTAATTTCCACTATGTGAATTTATGATGAACTGTTGTGACCACTACTGTAAAATATTATTATTTTTTCACATAATATTTCTTTTGTCTTTGATAATGATACAGAAATATTATGTATTTCACTATTTGAAAATATGTTTAAAACACCGTTGAGGAACTGATTGCGGGAATCGATCCAGTGTGGTGAAAACAAAGTTTTGGTATCCACTGCCATAGAAAAATTAGAGTTAGCTCCCTTACTCAACATGGAGGAAAGGGAGAATTTCCGAAAATTGTAATTTTTATCTTGAATAACTGGCTTTTGCGTGGACATTAGAGACATTAAGACAGGTACTTTGTTCTTTTATTGACAACTGTTTATGCATCATTTTATTTTCGTGGAATTTATGGACTGTGTGCAACGTCCGGAGTGTATTTCATGTACAGACCGAAGGCTTCATCAGATTTTCACCTCCTCATAATGCTTCCGTCGAAACTTACACAAACGTAGACACCCCTGCGGTATAAAGGTTATATGTAAGCAACGCATATTATACATCGACAAGGATGATTATGCTGTGTCAGTCGTGTCGGTTTAAAATCTAAATAATTATCGTTATGTCGCCTGGTAACGAATAGACTTCACGTAGAAATCACTGAGTTCATATTGGAATAACAACAGTGAATATTCGGCATGAACAGTAGTGCAAACTTATCCACACGAACAACAAGCAGACTTTAGTGAACTGTATTATTTGAATGTTGGCAAGAGGAAGCTGTCTGTCGTGACTTCTTTTCACTTGTAGATATGATATTGTTGCAACCTAGTTTATCTCCGGAACTTTGGGCATTGCGGTCGTTGTCAAGTCAGGTGCCATTTACCTACGTTATTGTGTCTGTATACAAATGCATCTATGTAATGCAATGTTAATAGTGCCAATGTCAGGATTGTAACAGATTCAGTACACATAACACGCTTGAAGCATCTTGCACATGTTTACAACTGATTTTAGTAACAGAGACAGTTGGCCAGATTTGGTCAGTGTGAAAAATGACAGTGCAGTCCAAGTTTTGCCATGGTAGTGTTTATACAGGAAGGTAGAAGACACCATTCTGTGGTGCCAGTGCAGGGATTTATCTATACTTTAAGTCTTTGATGCTGATACTCGTACAAGGTTACAACAAGTGTCAGTAAGAGTTCCCCAATTGCTTTTACACATTTCATATTTCTTTTTCTTAAAGTAATAATTACTGTATTTCTCTCTTTTCAGTGTAAATCACTCAAATTATGCTCACTAATGAGGGCGAGATTTTTATGCTTTGCATAAATGCAATGTATCAATACTATTTCTAAATGCCTCTGAATTCAAGATATTATTGTTTTTGAAACACAGTTTGAACTAGATGGTGTTCTTCTGTCCAGTTTGCCTGACACGGACATTTAGTTAAGGTTTCTATATAAATCCCTTCAAACAGAGACCCATACAGCCCAACCTGCTAAAATTACTTCAATCCATTGTTGAAAGATAATTTACTCAAAGACAAAAGTATGGGTGTGACAGAATGTTTCATGTTATCACATAATGTATAGGTTTCTCAGTTTGATAAAGACAACAGATATAAATAATAGGACTGGCTAAAAAGATTGATAATTCATTTCTGTAGGACTTTCTTTGGCAATTTTGCTCAAAGTTACTTCTCCAGTATTTATCAATGATCAGTATTAGATCTCAATGATCTAGTTTGATAACCAGCCCTAACAAATAGTATCAGCTGGGATCACTTGCACATAAATATTGAATAAGAACCCTGGTCAGGTACTTTCCTGTGCTTACCACAAAAGATGGCATCACCCTCTGAGATATA